CCCGTGCGCCCGCGCGTCGTGTCCGAATTTCACCATTCAGCGACCCGCCGTTTTAGCCGGCTACGACGCGCCGCAAAATGGGACAGACAGACACATTCCAAAATGTTTCATCGAGAAGTGGGACACATCGACCGTTGGCAAACGACCAGTCTGACAAGAGTGATTGGTTGCGGAAAAAGACAGGCTGAGTGTCATTCGCCTGTAAATCCAAGCCTTCCACGCCTTTCCACCATCCACGTCTCAGCAAACCATGCACTTCTAACATATGTGACAAAGAACGGCACTCTCTCCTTTTTCGCATAATCGAATAATCAAAGAGCGTACTTTGGCAAAGTATGTGCGAAGACTGAAGAGGGGAAAATGTCCAAATGGCCAGAGCTTTCCCAAATTACGGCCCAAAACGGGTCACTCCAAGGGAACGGCAATATTGTTCTCAAAGATTGCGACCGGGAAAAGCTGTCCGAGCTGAAAAAGTACTTATACCCCTAATATATGTATATATACATATGTATATATATATATATATATATATATATATATATATATATATATATATATATACGTTGCAAGTGGCTGCAGTAATGCATTATATTGTTAATGTGGCACACCTTGAACTAGGAACCGAGCGCATTATTCCCACAGGTTGTGGATAATGATAACAAGGCATCGTAGGTACAACCATCAGTGAGGTGAGTCCGTCTCCCACCCCACATTACCCCGCCGTCACATCCTGGCGGCGTAGTCACTTACCGGAGATAGGTACCAGCTTCGGTACGATGCTTCGTGAGGTACGAGTGTCCGTCCTCGCCAATAACCAGCCGGCTACCCCGCCTCCGCCCTTCGATGACCCGGTATCTCATGGCTTATTAACCAAATCGCTCGCCATGCAAACAGAAGACTGTCGACTGCATCCACGCGGCGGCCACGCATGCACACTGACGCGGAGCGCGCTGACGTTCGCGGCAGGTTTGAAATATCATGGATCAGGGGAACAGCCAGGGTTTTCGTACGGGGTTTGAGTGGAGGTATCGGGTATCGCTGTGAACGCATCACACCTTTTTTGTTTTGCTGTCCGGAACCGTTGTTTTATGAAACGAGGATTTGTGTGTCCAGTAGGTGGTCCCTGGCTACGCCCCTGCGCTGGGTCCCTGACACCGAGCTCACCGAACTCGACGCCAAAGGGTGGGGAACTGTACCAATTCGTGGGAAAGCTTCTCCGATTAGCGGTCCTGGCAACTTCAGGCACTTTGCGTTCCCTTACGGGAGTTTATACCCTACGGGCACGGGGTGAGCTCTCTGCTCACCTTCCAATGGTTGGTTGATTACTGGTCGCATTTGGAGCTTCCCTAGTAATTGCGGAGGTCCCGCTGACCGGTCGACCGCTGCGATCTCGGCGGTCGGAAGGGAGGGCTTCGCACTAGAGGCTCAGAAGTGTTTCACCCCTTGAACCTCTGCGCGGAAGCTCCGGTCAGATACAGCTTTTCCGGTCAGATACCGGCCGGCCAGATACCGTTTTTACCAGATACTGTCAGGGAGCAATAGCCTCACATATGCATACATATGCATATGACTCACATATGCTTGAATGTAACGACGGCTTCAGTATCGGAAACCCGACATGGGCGACTTGGCTCCATTGTTACGGCCGTTTTGCAAATTAATGTCATTTAAGTTATCAACCTTTGTTGTCAAAAATGGCTTGCAGCATACCGAGAGTTGTCCGTCCATGGCTTTAGTGGTACGATCGTACAATTGGCTAGTCGGCTACTAACAGTATTACTTTGGGCGCTACGTCTTCTCAATGTCATAAGCTTGAGACTAGCGCTTCAAGCTGGAAATGGCTGTTTCATCATGTCCTTGCTTACGATTTAGCCGTGCAATCAGTTGTTACGGGCTAACTAACGTATTTGCATGCTTTGATCTCTGAAAGCCAAAGAGAACATCCGGGTGCCGTTCGTAGAGCGACTGTGAACCTTTGCCCTGCTTCGCCGGTTTTCTTGATGATGGGGGTGCGGTAGATGTGAACCGCTGCCGTCACAACAAAAAAGCATGAAGTCCGGGGACGGGACGTCAGGCGGATTGGTCTAAGCCAGGTCTCGCTAGTCTTAGCCAGTTTTTATGCCTCTAAGGCTAATATTTCACCCCACTAGGCCAGGCCAAATGTAAATTTCTCCTGACAACCGATCTTTTCCAGCTTGGCATGTCCATATGTACGTCATGACGCACGCTAACAGCGTGCGATTTTCAAAAACGCGTGTGCCTTATGTACTCTTTACACGATCATATATGTATATATATTCGTTTATTTATGCATACGCATATATATATATATATATATATATATATAACATTTGGCATGTGCTTGGAGCATATGCTTATGATGCACGGCTCTGTTGGCTCTGTCTCCGAGAGGCACATGAGGTGCTCTGAGTCGTCACTCACGGACCGAGAGAGGAGAGTTTGCATTGCATCTGGCACCACAAGGGTGCAGGACAACGCAATACTCGGAAGGCCTGTCCTGCTCTCTCGGCAGGCCTATCCTGCTCTCAGACATCAACCGAGCTTGAAAGGGTACTCCACTTTTTCGTGCTTGCACTTATTGTTAGATCAAACGCGTAATATTTGATGAGTAACAACAGTGTTCTAGAAACCCCTCTAAACATCTCAAAACTTCACTCCAAGCTTTCGATTTCGATTCTATTTTGGTTTTGAGTTCGATTTACACTTAACGGTTCATTGATGATCATGAACACGACTTTCCACTACGCTATGACTTTTCAAAGGGAGAAACATCTTTGAACCTCTAGGCGTCGCGTCTAAGAAATGCTTTACGGTTCTTCTGGGTTAATGACGTTACGGCACGTTAGCACTCAGGCCATATTCTACGTTAAGTGGCTTTTGGCGCCGCAAACTTTCGTGACCACGTTTGCTAATGCCCTCTCCCTAGACTTCCATTCTCGTGGCAGCAAAAACTGCCTTTTCCGGCTCAGTGTTACTGGCACCTCACGACGTATGAGATGATTGGCGATTTGTGCGCGAATTGTGCGTCACTTGCGCACGGAAGGCAGTTTATCAGTACGGCTACATGCTCCTCCAAAGCTTCCTCCAGTCTCACTCGAATTGCTTTTGTCCCGTGATGTCTTCGGTCACAGGGTGCCGAATGCTCATGACACGCCTGCCTATCCACCACGCGGAGGACCTTCGCAGAAGCACGCGTTTGTATAATGGATCATAGCCGGTCGGCAAACCAAAGAACGCGCGTGGCTTTTTGCACCGAAGGATTACGCAACTTTACAGCGGTTCACGTTTCGAGCTATTGAAACTAAGTGTGGTGAAACACGCCAATGGCTTGGTTGGATACTGGTCGACGTGAATTACGTCTTTCGGATGTGCTAGTAGTAATGTCTCCATCGTACTCTGCTTCAGTGACGGCGAGTGATAATTTGAACTGAACAACTTACTTGCAACACTGACTTCGGCTATCAACGGCGCCCAACAGTCCTCACTTTTTTTTAACCCAAAGGTGGTACGGCTAATGAAATGCCCCAGGCTGCCATTGGGCTCTGCTAGGTTTATGATGTACTTTGTTGGAATTGATGGGATGCAGGTTCTGATTCAAACTTTTATTTGCGCTTGGTGAATGGAACATTTCTC